ATGTTTGGGTGGGTGTTGGGGTGACGTTTGGTTGGGTGTTGGGGTGATGTTTGGGTGGGTAATGGGTTGTGTGTCAGGCCAGTGAGGATGGGTTTGTGTCCTGTTGGTCTGTTAAATGAGGCAGCAATGCTCCACCTCATTGTTTATGTGTCCAGGAACTGCCATTTGTGATTTCCTATCGGCCCCATTGAGGGGCAGCTTGCCCTCAGAACTGTACTCACCAAAAAAATATGGAACATTCCCAGCATTTGCCTGTATTCCTGGGAGAATCTCCCAGTGCAAACCATCCCCTCATGGTTAACCAGTCCTAGTGGCCCTGTGATGAACCAGTTCTCTCTCTCTCTCTGTCCCCATGCAGCATATGTCATGAAACATTGGAAAGAAGACCCATTCTTTGGTTACCAATATTTAAATGGATCAAACCCACAGCTGATCAAACAATGCCAAACCATCCCAGCCAAGTTCCCCGTTACCAACGAGATGGTCTCTCCCTTTCTGGGACCGAACACCACACTCCAACAGGAACTTCAGGTCGGTTTACAGTTAATACTCTCACAAGGCACCTCCTTATTCTGTCAAAAATTTCTCCACGGAAGGGTTTTAGGCACTTAGGGCAGGATTAATGATGAACTGGGCATGTCAGATAATGGAATACACTCAAAAGCAAATCTTCACCTTATTGTCAGAATAGCCCGGATAAGAATTTGAATTTTCCAGTCTCTCCACATTCACTGAAAGCCCTCATCCCTGCTCCTTCCCAATTAATCTCCTCCTGACCCTCTCTCCACGGCTTTGACATCTTGTGACTGTGTGAGTTGGAAGAGTTGGATCAAATCTCCAGCTCTGGCCCAACCAGGGTTTGATTAAGGTTTTCCGTCACATGCGCGCTGTTGCTGTAACATTGAGACCAGGAATACCACTTGCCTCTTTAACAGGAGTTCTGCCCCTTTAGTTCCATGGGTCTGTAATTTTCAATCTGTGCTCCATCGTTTTGATGGGCTATTCACACAATGCTGGTGCCCAAGTTGTGGAATTTATTCAGCAGGAGTTTTGGGGAGAGGCAGTCGTTTTGCTGATTTGTGTTGGGTGATCCTGTCTGCTTTCCATCTGAAACTGTGTTGGTAAACATTCCTGCAGCTTTTAATAAAACTCTCACATTCCCATTTCAGAAAGGAAACATCTTCCTTGTTGATTATGAGCTGCTGGATGGATTTCCAGCCCATTCAATCTTTGGATGTCAGCAGTATCTCGAAGCTCCAATGTGTCTTTTGTACGTGAATCCACAGGATGAATTAATTCCCATTGCAATTCAGGTACAGTTGCCTGTCTTTTCTATCTGTGTCTCTCTCTCGCTCTCTCATTGTCACTTTGCTGTTGTTCCTCTATGGAAGCTGGTGGCCTAGTGATATTTGCAATGAACTATTAATCCAACAGGTGATGTTCTGGGGACCTGGGTTGAATCCTGCCGCAGCAAATGGTGTAATTTGAATTCAATTTTTTTTTAAAAATCTGGAATTAAGAGTCTAACGATGACCATGAACCCATTGTTGATTGTTGGAAAAACCCATCTGGTTCACTAATGTCCTTTAGGGAAGGAAACTGCCATCCTTACCTGGTCTGGCCTACATGTGACTCCAGGCCCACAGTAATATGGTTGTTTCTTAACTGCCCTCCGGGCAATTAGGGATGGGTAATAATAAATGTCATCCTGGCCAGCATTGCCCTCATCCTGTGAATGATTTTAAAAAATTTCCCAGAGTTTTCTCGGTTTGCCGTGAATCTTTACAAATACCTTGATGCACTTGTTAAAACAAGTCAGGGATCCCTAACCTCTCAATGCCAATGTTATCTGACATTTCTCTTTTTCTTTATAAATGCACTCCTCTCTTTTTCTTTTCTACTAGACCTTGTCTCTCCTTCATTCTTATTACCTTTATCTATTTATTTTCTCTGTTTATAGTTCTCTACTCTGTCCTCTTTATCTCCCTACCTTTTCCTTTCTACCACTTCCCTCCTATCTCTGTATACTCATCTCCATTGTTATTTCTATCTATTTCCAGATTTCTTTCTGCTCCAATCTCAGTAAATATTTTTGTTCTGTTGGTATCTCCATCTTTTGGTCGCACTTTACCTGCTTTCTTTCGCAGTTTCTTCCTGCATCTGACTCTTGATCTTCCAATGTCATTCCCCCTCTGCCTTGCTCTCTCTCTCTCTCTCTACACCTATCTCTGTCTCCCCCTCATTTTCTGTCTCTTTCTCTCTCGCACACTCTCTGTCTCTCCCCCCCTCTGTCTTTGCCCACTTTCTCTCTCTGTCTCACTCTCTCTCTCTCCTTTTTTCTCTCTCTCTTGCTTTTTTTTTGTTTCTCTATGCCTCCTTCTTTCCTTCTCTCTGTCTCCCTGTTTTTCTCTCTCTCCCCCCTTTCTCTTTCTCTCCCTCTTTCTCTCTCTAACACCCCTCTCCCCCCTCACTGTCTCTCATTCTTTCTCTTTCTCTAAAACCCCTCTCTCCCTTTCTCTATCTCGCTGTCTCTCCCTTTCTCTCTCTCTCTCTCACATCCAGTCTCTGCCATACACTCCAACACTCTACTGCAAAGGGGAACGGAGTTTCCATTAATAATTACCTTCTGCTGCTCTGTTTACACATCTAAATCTCCTCAGGTTACAGGCCAAATAGCATGACACTGATCAAGGAGGCAACATTAGGAGCTATTATTAAAGACATTATAACAGGGCACTTGTAACAAGTCAAGTGGAAACTGAGACAGAATCAGCATGGTTTGAAAAATGGGAAATCATGATTCCTTTATGAAATTAGTGTGTGCTATGGATAGAGGAGATCTGGTTGGTGTACTGTACTGTGATAATGCTGTCACTTTAAAAGGTTATTTGGTCCTGTTTTAGTTTTGAAGAGAGGTTGTAAGGCAGAGGCACCGAATTAGCTACTGAAGATGTCTTAAGTAAACAACTTGTGAGGCCTTTAGGTATTTTTTTAAAGTTGGAACCATGGAAACAGCCTGAATGTGTGTGGCCAGCTCTCACAGATCCAGATTTCTGGGTTTTGGTTTTCTCAGTAACATTAGAAGGTTTTTGGGGTCTGAAAAGAGTTGGAAGCATCAGTGAATGTTTCCTGGCTGCTACACTCTCTAAATTTTTCCTCGATGCTGTTTCCTCCTGGATTGGAGAACTGCATGTAAGAATCTGTTTCTGAATTCGCCTTTTTACCAAGGGGAGTGTTTATGCGATGTTAGTATATTGGAACAGTTAATTAGTGATAGGCACTGTATCTATTATTCAGTTAAGTTTTCCAATAGTTAAGTTTTTCTAAATTCCTCTTTCTTTGGTTTGTATTTTAACCAAATTGTATTTTAAATAAATTGTGTTTTGCTTAATGTCGAGGAGTTTGACCAGTCGCATTGCATCTGGAACACAGCATTTCACATCTAACTGTAAAATAGGAAGCAGTTAGGGTCTAGCCTACCTTCATAAAATATTTTGAGGGGGTCTGGTTGGGTCCATTACTTACATTTTTAGAAGGCATTGATAAGGAACCACATCAGAGGTTATTGTAGGAATTAGATGCTTTTGGTATAAGAGTAGTGTATCAGCATGGGCAGACAACTGATTGGTTAAAAAGAGACAGAGAGTAGGCCTAACTGGGTCATTTTCTGGTTGGCATTATGTATTGAGTGTTGTCCCACAGGGAACAGTGTTGAATACTCAAATGGCTAGGATGAAGGGACTGGAGGTACGAATGCTAAATTTGATAATGACACCAAGTGGGTAGAAAACTGAGTTGTGAATCGATCATAAGGGGCTACAAAGGGATATAGTTAGTTTAAATAAATGGGCAAAGATCTCTCAAATGGAGTAAAACGTGTGAAAATTTGAAATCGTCAACTTTGGCAGGAAGAATAAAAAAGAAGCAGATTATCTAAATGGTGGGAGATTACAGTGCTCTGGGATGTAGAGGGTTTTTCTTTCCTCTTTATTCATTCACAGGATAAGGGTGTTGCTGGCCATCCTAATTGCCCAGAGGGCAGTTAAGAGTCAACCACATTGCTGTGGGTCTGGAGTCACATGTAGGCCAGACCAGGTAAGGATGGTAGTTTCCTCCCCTAAAGGGCATTAGTGAACCAGGTGGGTTTTTCCCCAGACAATCAGCAATGGATTCACGGTCATCACTAGATTCTTAATTCCAGATATTTTATTGAATTCAAATTCTACCATCTGCCACAGCAGGATTTGAACCCGGGTCCCCAAAACATTATCTGGGTCTCTGGATTAACAGTCCAGCGATAATACCACTAGGCTATCACCTCCTCCCATTGATTGATTGATTTATTGTCATGTGTACCGAAGTACAGTGAAAAGCTTTGTTTACAAGCAGTACAGGCAGATCATATTAAGCAAGGATGTACAGAACAAAAAGACTTAGACAGAGACATACAGGTTACATTGCACAGGGCGTGCGCTAGGTGAGATCAAAGTTAGCAAGATCAGTGTTATTTGAGGCTACAGAGTCCATTCATCAGTCTGATAACGGCCAGGAAGAAGCTGTTCCTGAACCTGCTGGTGTGTGTGTTGAGGCTTCTGTGTCTTCCTGATGGAAGAAACTGTAGGAGATCATTTCTGGGGTGTGATGGGTCTTTGATGATGTTGGCAGCCTTTCCACAGCAATGAGCCGTGTAAATAAAGTCCATGGATGGAGGGTAGGCCTCATGCTTGAAGCACAAAAGGTTCGTACAGCAGGTAATTAGGAAAGCTCATAGGATGTTACAATTTATCATGAGGAGAGGGAGGGTATGTTTCAGTTATACAGAGCACTGGAGAGGCCACAGATGGAGTACTATGTACAGAACTGGTTTCCTTATCGATTGAAGGGTGTAAGTGCAATGGAGACAGTTCAGAGGAGGTTTATCAGACCAATACCTGGGACAGATTATCTTATGAAGAGAGTTTGGACAAGTTGGGCTTGTATCACTGGAGTTCAGAAGGAAAAGAGGTGACTTGATTGAACCATAACATCCTGAGGTGTCTTGACCAACTGAATATGGACAGGAAGACTCCCCCTTGTGGAATTCTCTAGAACGAGGGGTCAATGATTAAAAATTCAGACATTTAAGGCAGAGATAGAAGGGCTCACCCCTTTTCAGACAGAGATGGGGAGAATCTTCATCTCACAGAAGGCTGTGCCTCTTTGGAACTCACTCCCTGAGAAGTGATGTGGAGGTGTCAGTGTTGGACTGGGGTGGCCAAGGTCAAAAATCACACAACACCAGGTTATAGTCCAACAGGTTGGACTAGTCCCTGAGAAGGCAGTGGGAGCAGATTCCTTGGATATTTTTAAGGCGGGGGGGAAGGGGTTTGATTCTCGATGAGTAAGAGGGGGTCAGTGTGAATGTGGGTGATCAGACCACCTGTGGAGCTTTTGAAGAGCAGGGTGAGCAGGCTCGATGGGCCGAGTGGCCTGGTCCTCAGTTTGTTCAAAAGTGACCTTGTCTTGATAGCTGACAGTCAGGCAGTGCTTTGAGTATTAAGAACTTGTTGGCAGAAATATTGAGATTTGGAACCTGTTAAGTTTTTGTTGCTTGTTTTGCCAATGTATTACAGTTGGATTCCTGCCCAATACTTGTTTTTCTCAAATCGCATTTTATAAAAACAGAACTATCACCAGCATCGTTTCAACTCATTCTAACTTGTTAAGCTCTTGCTTAACTTAACAGCCAGTGTTGTAATCATGCAATTTGTACAATTGGCAGATCAAACAGGAGCCAGGACCACAAAACCCCATCTTCCTACCAAGTGATAGCAAATATGACTGGCGACTTGCTAAGATCTGGGCTCGACACGCTGACACACAGATTCACCAGCTGGTCTCTCACTTGTTGAAAACTCACCTCTTTGCAGAGGTCTTTTCCATTGCGACACTGCGGAAGCTGCCAAACGCACATCCCATTTTTAAGGTACCTCCAGATGAAATGTCTGAATTCCCAGAGGGAGCCTGATCCCCCAAGACTGTGTTTTAGAGACTGGAGTTACCATTGCTCTCACAGCTGTTTTGCATGTTTCATTCCCGTTCTGTGTTGAATTGAGTTGAGGTGCTACAACAGGCAGGAGAACGGAGTTGAGAGTTAGGAGAAGACCTGACAGGCTGAATGGCCTAACCCCTGCTCCCACATCTTGTGGTCTTTAACTCTCTTTGGCAACAAGGGGGAGAAAAGCTCAGTGTATCTCTGGTCACTCCTGGGAATTCTGTTGGGAAGTGTGTGTTTGGGGATTGGGTTGGTGGGACAAATCTCTGGTGACGCGGCAAAATGGAAGCATCGGTGGAGATCAGGAAATGTGGAAGTTCATCCCAGCCAAACACTGGAACTGGCCATTCGGCCCAAATGCCTCTCACCAGCCCTCTCCCATTCCTAATTCATCTATCCGTGTCAACTTATCCTTCTACTATTGAGCAAACACTTGGGAAAGCTAGCAGGCAAGATGACAGACTGGGATTGATGCAGGTAACAAAGGTTCCATGAGGGAAAGGCACCATAGAGGAATGGGTGAGGTGTTGGCTAAGTGACAGGAAACAGTGCGCAGTGGTAAACAATTGGTTTTCAGGCTGGAGGAAAGGTCATGGTGGAGTTCTCCAGAGCTCAGTGTTAGAACCATGGTTTTACAATATCTTATGTTGCTGGCACAGGTTGAGGTGAAGAGGTTGCAACTACAAAACCTTCAAAAGAGCACAGACAAACTGGTGGGACAGGTGTATGTTTTTGGAAAACTTGGGAATGAATATGTGCAACCTTTGTAGGACAGATGGAGAAAGAAGATAGTAAGAGACATGGGATCCTGGGCTTCATAAATAAAGGCATAGAGTATGAACATCAGGAGGTTATAATTGGTCTTAATAACACCTTGTTTGGGCCTTAGCTGGGGCATTGTGGACTGTTCTGGGTACCACATTTAGGGAAGGATGTGAATGCACTGGAAAGAATGCACAGGAGATTTATAGGAGAGATTCCAGGGACAGCTGAGGGACAGGAGATGATGTGAAATCAGGACAGAGTCAAAAGGAAGAAATTTTCCTGTTAACAGAAGGATTGAGAACAAGATGAACACTGATTTAAGGTGATTGGCAAAAGAAACAGCAGTGAAGTAGCCTTTTTCCACCCAGCGAGTGGTTAGGGTCTGGAATGTATTGTCTGAGAGTGTGGGGAGGGAGGGTCACTCGAGTGGTTAGGGTCTGGAATGTACTGTCTGAGAGTGTGGGGGAGGGAGTGTCACTCGAGTGGTTAGGGTCTGGAATGTACTGTCTGAGAGTGTGGGGGAGGGAGGGTTGGATCAATATCTGATGGATAACAGTGTACAGTCTTTTGAGGAAAAGGCACGGATTTGCATTGAGTGAGCTGGCAGGTGTATAATGGGCCAAATGGCCTCTTTCTGCGCTGAAGTCATTCTAAGGTTGTACCTGCTGTCAACTATCTCCAGTCCATCTAAAGACATGTGAGTAATTCATGTCAAATACTTTTTTGGTAGGGACCTCTCCATCTCTGAGTCAAGTTGTTTCTTGTTGAATTTTCTCTGGGTTTTGTATGTGCAGACTTTATTTCTGCTGCCTGGTTCAGTACTCCCCCACATTTTCACAGAATTTGGCAGACTATCAAATTCTCTGTTGTTTTATTTGACTTTCTCTGATGGAATGAGGAGAGATTGTGAGATAGTAACACGCTAGAACAATCCATCAATGATGCAGCCTTGCAAAATCTTGACTAAATATAGTTCAAGACCAACCACCTCCTTTTTGTTGTGTGAAACTATCCAACAACAAACTAAACTTCAAAATTCTTCATCTTCCAGCTGCTCATGCCTCACCTGAAATTTACTTTAGACATTAACACAGCAGCAAGGAATCTCCTGATATCAGATGGAGGTGTTTTTGATCAGGTAAGTGCAACCCTTCACATTCTTATTGGGAATGACACTGATGTGACAGTAAGGAGGAAGACATGAGACAGAGCTCAATATTTACCAAGGAATCACTTTGGAATGTTCAGTGTTTCTAATAATCTAGACTGGAAAGATAGGGAGATATAGACTGGGGAAAGTCAGATATCGAGAAGGAATAGACTGGGGATTATTGGATATTAAGAGGGAGCTGGGATATTGAGAGGGAGCTGACTGGGGAAGGTGGGATATAGCAAGTGGACATAATGGGGAAAGTAGGTATTGAGAGGGAACTGACTGGAGAAAGTGGGATATTGAGAGGGAGCTGACTGGAGAAGGTGGGATATCGAGAGGGCAGAGACTGGGGAATTGGTCAGGAAGTGTGTTTCTTTTTTGGAGTGGGATGAACATGATGATGTCCTCCTCCAATCTTGGCCATCTCATGTCGTAGGAAAGGTATGATCTAACCAAACACGGGACAGGGCTCCACCAGTTAAATGATCAGCGTTCTTGTTTAAAGTTGAGACTCTGGGTTGAGAATTGGATCAGATCCCATCACATTTCCAATGCACATCATGTTTATATCATGTCATTTTAGGCTTTCTCTACAGGAGGGGAAACGAAAGTACAAATCCTGCAGCGAGCCTTGGAGCAAACAACCTACTCTTCTCTGTGTCTCCCGGAAGACCTGGCGTTTCGCAAAGTGGAACATTTGCCCAGATATTACTACAGGGATGATGCGCTGAAAATCTGGTTCGCGATAAACAGGTGAGATTCCAACAAACACATTTCACAACATAGTCTCCTTTCTGTTCTTCTTTGATCACAACTCCCAATTCATTGATTCAGTTCTGGTTAATCAACTGGAAATGACTGGAACAGGGAAAGATGCTTCATGAATTTTACCACATTATTTCTGGGAATACAAGTGGGAAGGCAAATGGAGGAACAGACCAAATGGGTCTATTCCCATCTCTTATGTTCTTAGTTATCCATCACCTTAAACATTCACTCTGACGCTCAGTCACAGCAGTGTGTACCATAGACCAGACGCACTGCAGCAACTCACTGAGGCTCCTCACACAGCACCTTCCAAACCCACGACCACTTCCATCCAGAAGGACAAGGGGCAGCAGGTACATGGGAACACCATCCCCCTGCACGTTCCCCTCCGAGCCACTCCCCATCCTGACTTGGAAATGTATCGTTGTTCCTTCAGTGTTTCTGGATCAGAATCCCTGGAATTCCCTCTTTAACACCCCAAGTACTAAACGGTAACCAAGCACAGTGGTTCAAGAGGGTGTCTCACCACCACCTTCTCAAGGGCAATTAGGAATGGGGCAATAAACATTGGCCCAGCCAGAGATACAACAATTCTCTGAAAGCTTACATTTTTTGTTTTTAAGTGTTCTGAGCCCTTTCTTCCTTTAACTCTACAAAGTCTTCAATTGATGACAAATGTTATCCTGATTTCTGAGATCTGGATAATTTGAATTGAGCCTGTTGTGCCAATGCTCCACTCATTTCCACTCTTCCTGCAGTTCCTATAACGATTTTGTTGTGTTGTGTTGTGAAGCTGAGCGCCCCCCCAATTCTCGATCATACCTTCACTGTCTGACAATAAATCTTCAACTTGAATATTGACTCTCTTTCTCTTTCAAAGATTTGTGGAAAGCATTGTTGACGTCTACTACCAGAATGATGCCTCCATTCAGAAAGACTCCGAAATCCAAGACTGGGTAATGGAAATCTTTACTGAAGGATTCCTCGCCAGACAGTCATCAGGTCTGATTGCTTACATCGGCTGGTTTTCAAAATGATCATGGTTCTGCCAGCAGGAGGCCGTTCGGCCCCTCAAGCCTTCTCAGTAAGATCATGCCTATCCTGTTTGTGCTTCAAATCCCATATTGCCCTCTCCCCTCGATTAATCTCAAATCCCTGCCTGATGATAATTGACCCACCTCCATCTTAAAATATTCAGTGACCTCTCCCTCCCCCAACTGCTTTCTGAGGCAGACAGTTCCAAAGTCTCACCATCCTCAGAGAGAAACAAATTCTCCTCATCTCTGTCCAAATGGGGCAACCCCTAACTTTAAGACAGTGCCCCCTCCCCAGTTCTGGACTAACCCACAACAGGAAACACCTTTCCAATGTCTACCTCACCAAGACTGTTGAAGATCTTATACACATCAACCCAGTCACCCCTTGCTCTTCAAAACTTCAGGGGAAACAAGCCCAGTCTGTCTGACCTTTCATCACAGACATCCCACTCCTTCCAGATTAACAATCTAGTGAAGTCTTCTCTGAGTCACCTCCAATACATTAGTATCCTTCCTTAAATAATGAGCGCAAAACTGTACACAGCATTGGAGATGTGGTCTTACCCAGTGTGCTGTCAAACTGTAAAATACCATGCTGGCAGTACACTCTGTAAGGTGAGTAATTGAACTATTTTTGTGCTGTGTTATTACCCAGGAGCTTTCAGTTTAATCAATGTTAGCTCGATGAGACTTAAAGACTCTGTCCAGATGTGCCAGTGGTTTTGCAACATTCAAATTGGGGGTGATTTTATACCAGGAAAAAGGATGGTACACAGATCATTCTTGTCGCTAGAGAAGAAAAGGATGGGAAGGATTTTTAAAAATTCTTTCAGGGGTTTATGGGCATTCCTGCACCTAATGCCTCATCCCTAGTTGCCCCCCTTGAGAAAGTGGGGGTAAGCTGCCTTCTTGAACCACTGCAGTTCATGTGCTGTGGGTTGACCCACAATGCCCCTTAGGGAGGGAATTCCTGGATTCTGACCCAGCGACACTGGAGGAACAGGGATATATTTCCAGTGGTGGTGCAGTTACTGTTTCATGGATTCCAAGAGGATTGTATAAAGTATGTCAAACTATTTCAACTTGTGCAGAATGGCAAACCAGAAATCCTGGCATGTTCCTGGATTTCAGCTGTGGGGTGAGACCAAGCAAGTGGCAGGAAGTCTTTATTTTAGTGAGGAAATTTTAGGAAGGCAGCGACACAGCTAACAATAATTAATTCAAATTCAGATTTGATAGACTTCAGAAGTAAGCTTTCCGCTTTTGCAAAGCCAATTCCCACCAGCTCATGCAAGCTTTGGCCATTTGGAAAGTAGAGAATGGAGGTAGGATCTGTCCTATCTCTCAGCATCCGCTTTGTTCCCTTGTATGAGGAGGGGTCAAACACATTCGGCAGTCTGACTACCCCTTATTCACACTCCTCCTTTCTGATACCTACAAGTGACTCCCACCAAACAGTAAATGTCATGTTCTCTGCCCTCAGATGCAATCACAATCTCTAGGAGATTGAATGGATTGTGTGAGAAGTTGAAATGCTGCATTCCTATCCGGGATAATCTAACAATTTCATTGATTAGCCTCTCATTAATACCATCCTCAGACAGGGAGCCATTGGAATGATTCATAACACTGTGGTGGTCTTCATAGTGAATCTCTACATCCTGTTAATTCCGTCATACTGTCTCTCCCTCTCCCTCTCTCTCTCCAGGATTCCCAATGGCATTCCAAACTAAAGCAGACCTTACCAAGTATCTCACCATGGTGATATTTACCTGCTCTGGGAGACACGCTGCAGTAAATACTGGGCAGGTAATCAAACCAAAATATCTCTATGTACTCACCAGGAAGAATTATCTTCTTCACCTGCATTGGCCTGAACTCACTGGAGTTTGGAAGAAACATATAAGGGGGCTTGACAGGGGAGATGTGGAAATGTTGTTTCCCCCTGTGGGAAAGTCTAGCACCAGAGAGGGCATTATCTCACAATAAGGAGACACCCACTGGAGACAGAGATGAGGAAGAATTTCTTCTCCCAAGATTTATGGAATTCTTGACTGCAGAGGGCTGTTGAAGCTGGGTCATTGAGTATATTTGAGGCTGAGAGACAGATTTTTAATCAGTAAAAGAATCAAGGCCTATGGGGAAAAGATGGCTCAGTGGTTAGCACTGCTGTCTCACAGTGCTAGGGACCTGGGTTCGATTCCACCCTCGGGCGACTATCTGTGTGGAGTTTGCATATTCTCCCCATGTCTGCGTGGGTTTCCTCCGGGTGCTCTGGTTTCCTCCCACAGTCCAAAGATGTGCAGGTTTGGGTGGGTTGGCCGTGCTAAATTGTCCCATAGTGTGCAGGTTAGGGTGGGTTGGCCATGTTATTGCGGGGTTACCAGGATAAGCTGGGAGAGTGGGTCTGGGTGGGGTGCTCTTCGGAAGGTCAGTGTGAACTCGATGGGCCGAATGTCCACCTTCTGCACCGTGGGGATTCTATGATTTAGGCAGGGAGGTGGAGCTGACGATGATCAGATCGGCCACAATCTCATTGAATGGCAGAGCTGACGCGATGGGCCGAATGGCCTACTTCCGCTCCTGTGCCTCAGGGTCTTATTAATTGAATTTTGGGCAAAGATTTGGCTCTTTGCAAACAACGGGATCCCATAACCACAACTCGCAGTCTTTTCAAAACCAAGCCTGATCTTCCTCAGCCACGTTTCCCTGGAAGCACTCATTAGCCCAGCTGTTTGGTGAAGAGCATCCTCCCTTCCCAGCACTTCACCTGTGACCCTCAGACCGGGTGGGGACATGGGGGGGCAGGGGGGTTGCACGTGAGGTGGGGGCAGTGGATGTTTCTGGGTCAGGCAGGCTGGTTCGTGGGCCTGGGGGGTGTTGAAACTAAACCAGAGGATTGTGTGTCATCTGGGGCCACAGCTAGAAATCATCCATGGGGTAAACTCAGGGGTGCAGCCAGGAGAGCCTTCACTTTGACACTCAGGCTAGTGCCCTCTGACTGATGATTCACAGGGTTATGTTTCCAGCATAGTCTGAGACATTTGGCCCACTGTATGTGTGCTGGCCCACTGCAGAAGCACCTCGCTCTCCCCAGATCTTTTCCCTGTAGCCCTGAGAAAGTTACATGTAGCAGACCTTCGTAGGGGGGCTGTGGGTGAAGTTTTTTTTTTACCTTCAGGTAACTTCTTCTGTGGGATGGTGTTGGCTGAGAAATTTCAGTGTATTTAGATGAGTGTTGTGTTACCACATCAACCCTTGCGTAGACTGGAACATCAGTAAACATTGTTTTTATTTATGCTTCATGTTTCGCTCAGTATGATTGGGGCTCCTGGATGCCAAACAATCCATCGACTATGCAGAAACCACCGCCCAGTGAGAAGGGCAAAGTCAGTAAACTGGACATCATGTGTACGTTGCCCGGTAAAAAGGAGACGGCCATAGTGGTCGCTACCATTTATTTACTCAGCAAACCATCACCCATTTCAGTAAGTACGAGACCTAACTCCCCTGTCCAGTCATAACAACTTCACACCCCGTCAACCCTCTCGTGGTCCTGGTCCCGTTGGCAGCTCTCTCCCACCTCAGTCTCCAGGTTCAAGTCCAACTGCACAGCGTGAGCACAAACTACACAACCACACACTCCAGTACAGTGCTGAGGGAGCGCCGCACTGTTGGAGGGTCAGCGCTGAGGGAGCGGGCACTGTCGGAGGGTCAGTGCTGAGGGAGCGGGCATTGTCGGAGGGTCAGTGCTGAGGGAGTGCCGCACTGTCGGAGGGTCAGTGCTGAGGGAGCGCCGCACTGTTGGAGGGTCAGCGCTGAGGGAGCAGGCATTGTCGGAGGGTCAGTGCTGAGGGAGTGCCGCACTGTCGGAGGATCAGTGCTGAGGGAGCGCCGCACTGTCGGAGGGTCAGTGCTGAGGGA